ACGTTTCATCTGTCTTACAAGGACTGAATCATAGTTTTTCTGGCATACAAGGACTATAAGGTTACGTTTCATCTGTCTTACAAGGACTGAATCATAGTTTTTCTGGCATACAAGGACTATAAGGTTACGTTTCATCTGTCTTACAAGGACTGAATCATAGTTTTTCTGGCATACAAGGACTGTTCTCACTGTCATGAAAATATCTTTTAAGTGATAATTAAAGTTTGTTATTTTACTACATATGTGCATATATAAGTTCTTTACTGTAGATTTCATCATGTATGCCTATCGAATATTAATGTAGGCCCAACACATGTCTAATCTATGCAGGAAAAAACCGTAAAATGAACTTATCTGGTCGGCAGTCCCGTGACGTTGGCTTACTGAGCACAAGCAAGCTATACACTTTACAGGACAAGATATTTGCCTTCACTCCTCAGGCAAGTTTAAACTATTTGGACACTGAATCCTAGAACAGTGTGATACAACTTTTATATTCTCATATTAAAATAGTTCTCGTTTATTTAAATCTAAAAGATATAAAAGGTAAAGTGTGTCTAAAAGGAAAATTGAAAAGTTATTGTGAGGTTGTGACAATCGGGTATCAGTCATTGTCAGCTACACAGTCAGCTAAACCAAATTATTATTAAATAATAACTTTGTTTTAGAATTAGATAATAATTACTAACAAGTTCTCTCCTATGATTTGGTCAACTGCTGATCTGTGGTTGTCTTCATGGACATTTTGAGAAAGACCGTTTCTCTTTTTGGTAGTGGATAGGATTTGATCATGGGTCTTTGTGATTGAAGTCTGGTGCTTTCTCCACTCAACTGAGGTTTTAAAGAAGGGTATCCAGGTTTTTGTTGATTTCTATACTAGGTTGACTGTTATCAGTGAATGTAGAAGGCTTTTTTTTATCTTTGTAGGCTTAGGTTAGCCCTGTGGTAGAGCCCTAGAGTTTGGAACCGGCAAGCCGTTTTTGAACTCTTTACAATACCACATAACGTTCCTCACACTTCAAGCTGTGGGTTCGTCGTAAGAGTGACAGCCAATCCCTTAGTGTGGATGGTGGTGGTAGGGTGCTGCTGACCAACTAACTTCCCTTTGGTCAGTAGTTGAAAATTAGGGACAGGTAACCTTATTAGCTGTATATGTTTATCTTTCTTTTCCCAAAGCGTGGTTTATATCTCACTATTTATTCCACTTTACTGTATTTTTGTTATCGTGAGCTATTGTTACCGAGTCTTCTATGTCTATTATTTTTCTAAATTCTGACTTTTGTTGTTCTTGTTGTTTCTCTGATTGGTTGGAATCCACACATGTAAGGTATGTTGTGAATGGTGTTTTTCGGTTTACTTGATGTGTACGAACTGCAATTGTATTGTGTCTGTGGCTTCTGAATGACTTCTTTTTGACTTCAGAGAGACCTCTAATATAGCAGAATATGGATGTATATCTGTAATTTTCTTCCTGTTTATTTATTGGCATTTATTTTCATTATTTTCTTCTTTATTGAGAGTTATGAGTATCCATTATTAAGGACGGTTTTAGTTTTTATTTCTTCCTTCTTCATAATGCCTCAAGTAACATAAGAACAGAAATAGTCAAACAAGTACAGCACCACTCCTTGCATCTATAGCCTACATAAAATTCATCAAACAAGGCTACCCACTCAATCCAACAGGGTGCATATGCATCCTTGAAAGTGCTTGAAAAGGGGCCTTTTTTTTTTATCAGAAGTACTTGAAAATATTACAATGCAGAATACATGGATATGTCTAACGTTAATGCATGCTGTGGGGATATAGGAATTTAATAAAATTTCAGTGGAATTGAATTGATTTTGATGTGGATTTTAGTTTCCAAAAAGTGCTGGTAAGACATTTTGAATACTTAGGAAGTCCTTGAAAAGTGCTTGAAATTGATCCGACCCATTCAATATGAACCATGATCCCAGTTAACTGTACAGATTCATCACGGTATCCTTTAGGAGATATTATCATTAGAGGTAAACACCCCTCATAATGCAGTAACCTTCAAACTAACCCATTCTTTGTAGAACAGATGAAATACATACTCTAGATCTGTGGGACGTGCCTCCCAAGGGGTGGAGTGGTGAATTTTGGAGGGGGTAACAAAAGCTTGTGCACCACTGTGAAAATAGTATATGTATACTTGATGTTGTAATTCTTTGATAAAAATAATAAGTTAACTTTACCTCTCAGTGCTTTCTTTATAGTTTTACCTGTGAAATATTTATAGTTAGGCTTAGAGCTTCATTATTCTCAAGTTGTCAACCTTAGATAACTTAAGGGCTGTAGAAAGATGTGATATATTAAATGTTTATTGTATTTGTATTAGTCATATTAAAAACAATCAATAAACGATCTTCATATTAACATGCACTCTTCTCATTAATTGGACGTTAATTGGTCATAACATTCCTGTGAATAATTCGCTTTTCTTTTTATAAAACTGTTCTCCAGTAGTTTGATTTAATTTTAAAAAAAATTTTTTTAATTATTAGTTTTTTTGTTTACGACAATAATTTGATTATATTTCTGTAAAACATATTGCCACGAATAACAGAGGAATTGTTACAGCCAGCATGGTACCACTGCTAAAACTTATTCCAGCTGTAATGGTAAAGCTTGTTTATAATTGTGTATTTTATAAAATAATGATTTTATTTTGCTTTTTTCATTAAAATATATAAACGTGGTAACATAACAGCTGGTTGTGACGCATAACGCACCCAAATGGTGCGAGTCAGATAAATAATGAATTACTGTTTCCATTTTAGTTTTTAAATAAAAAAACATGCATATATGTTTATTTCCAGCATATCACTGTTCAAAACATTTATATCGGTTATATTAAAAAAACAAATTCCATAGTGCTCAGCACTTAGAGGTTCAACATTTTAGTGCAAATAAAATAAAGTTATCACTCCGAGTGCTGTGCCTTGGTAGCTCAATGATAAGTTTGATGGCTAATAATGCTGAAACTTTAGGTTCTATCCCTGTAGTGTGCACAGTGCAGATAACCCATTGTGTAGATTTGCACTAAACAATAAAAGAAACAAAAAATCGAATGTTGTGTTTATACGATCACCTTTCTAGTGTAATTATGATAAAGCTGTTCTGTGTAGAGGTTGTGTTTATCAATTTTATGGCAATAAAGCTATCAAACAAAGGATGGTTTTTTGTTTTATTGTGATGAGTTTTATGGCAATAAAGCTGTCAAACAAAGGATGGTTTTTTGTTTTATTGTGATGAGTTTTATGGCAATAAAGCTGTCAAACAAAGGATGGTTTTTTGTTTTATTGTGATGAGT